AAAATATAACAAAACTATAGTTTTTATTAAAATAACTATAAAAAAGTTATTGGTAGATATTTTCCAGATTTGGTAGACTTTGTTCAAGTGGCTGGTAAGTATTTTTTCGTCAGTGGCAACCCTAGTGACAACTGATACATACATAGGTATATGCATAGAGTAAATTTTTCTTATGATTACTAAATGATTACGGAGTCATTAAAAAATAATATTTAATTTAGTAAATGTCTTTAAAAAAAAATATCCAGGTATTTTGCTTTTAGATTTTGCAGCTTAAAATAGCTAATCAGTGGCGTTGTCATCGAACTGGAGAATGAATATTACCATGGAACTTAGTAAAAACCCGGGTGAACTAGCATAAATGGGAAAGAATAAACCCAACAACAACAAAGCGACAAAAGCAATTTACTATTTAACAGAGTTTTGTTTGCACAGGCATTGAGCGAAATTTGCAACGGCGCACACAATAAACACGTGTCGCATAAAAATGTCAAAGAAGTAAAAAATATATATATGTACATATATGCATACTTATATATTGAAAAAGCTCAAGCGCACTAGAAAAACTAATATGCATTTGCTATGTGTTCTGTACATATGTATGTATGTATGTATACATATATACATACATGAATATTAATGTGAGCGGCGAAGCAGCAATGGCGGAGTAAAATGCAAATCCAGCTATCGCAAAGTATGAGGCAAATGCAACAACATAATCCATTTGCATAAGCTGTACACGGCGTTCTCAGCTGTTGCGCCGTTATTGCGCGCGTGCACATAAATACATATGTACATATGTAGATAGCTGCACTTACCAACAAAGTCACTTATATACATAAATACATACAACAAACCGCTGAGCGAATTCCCCAAGATGCAGTTGGAAACAAAACCGCAACCACAGTTTTTATGACTGCTCTCACTCACTCTCTATTTGTGGCGTAATACTCGTCGCAAGTGCAAAAAATGATCAAAAATAATAATTAGAGATAAAAAGTACTAAATATAAGGAAAAGCGGATAAAATGCGTTGCATTCAGCAAAAACTCGCAGATGAGGTAATAAAATAAAAAACTTGCAAGCGTGGCTGCGACAAAAACAACAATGCGACTATTGTTGCCACTACAATTGCGAGAAGCGTTGCCAATTCGACATATTTTTACATATATTTAAATAGTGAGCGTATGTATTTTTCAAATTCGTATATTGCGTTTCTTTTACTGAAAAATCGCTACTTCATTATTTAGTAGTCAACAATTTGATCGTGCTGTTATTAATAAAAAAAAAAATTTGTTTAAAAGCAACTGCAATTTTAAGAATGAAGAAGTCTGCCGAGCAGATGTGTTGATCGGTTTCGGATTTCTACCATTTGTAAAATTATTATTGCTTTTCCACAAAAAAAAAATCTTTATTCATTAAAATTGTTGTTTGGTAAAAAACAAAAATTAAAAACAAACCACTTTGTTGGTGCAAATATGTATGTCCCTAAATAAGATTTTTAGAAATATGTCGACTCTATAAATAAAATCCTCAAAACGTCAGGGTATGTATATTTTTGAAGCTGACTGTATGTGTGCACATAAGGATTTACCAATACCAATAAGGGCCAATGCCATTTATTTCAAGAAAAAGTTGCGAAAGGTTCGCTAAAATCCCATAAGTACCAACTTTTTTCAATTTTCAAATGTATACCCTATGAATATTTATGGCACAGTGACAATGAAAAGTTTGTTGCTTGAATACATATATAAAATATAATATATATATAATATATATGTAATATATAGGCTTGGTATTTTCAGAGATATTAGTCCAGAGTTCCAGCTTTAATTTAAACCTAAGTGGATGGCTCTATCAGCTTTCGTTTGTTTGCTAGAGCTTCTCAAATATTGCAAAAAATGGAGATTTACAAAAAAAATTTTTTTTAAGCCCACCTTTCCTTTCCTTTCAGACCGCCTGCCCAGCACGATATCCGGGGATCCTGCTGCTCGGAATCTTGTCCATTCCGACTGCCGCAACAACAGTAATAAATATACAGGGTGTCCCAGAAGTAACGTGCCAAACTTTAGGGCAAGGTAGGTGGGGGGGTGAGCTCACTGATAAACAAAAACTTTTCAGGTAAAAGTGTCACCGTTTTTGAAATATTTAAATTTTTTCGAATTTAAAAAAAATCGTGCCTTTTCATGTGTTTTCTTTAACTGCAACTACAAACCGGGCAATTAAATTAAATTAAATTTTTTATGTAAAATTAAATTTTTTATGTAAAATACTTCCAGATAGTTGCCTCTCCATACTCAAATGCAATGTAGTTAAAATAAATTAAGGAACCATCATAAAATTAGGACTATTTCTGGATTTTTAACTTTTTGATATTTTCTTCCCCAACTTTGACTATCTCGGGTGAAAAAAAAATGTACTGAGCTATAACTTTACATTACATAAAAAAATTGCTCATTTAATAAAGATTTCAGAAAGGTGCCACACTTACTGTTTTGAAAAAAAAAAAAAAAGTTATAGCCGCTTTTGTGGGTAAAGGACTGAGACACGCTAGAATGTATTTAATAGATTTAAATTGAATTTGCTCTTGTTACCGTCAAATGACATGCTAAATAGTACAAAGGTACATTATTACCTGCTCCTGACATTATTTTGTGTTACTTACCGGAATTCGGACTAGAGTCTATAACAAGGGCTATATCTATCAATATTTTTTGTGAAGCATGGATTCACGTGAAATAAAATATACATGAGTCGTTTGAAGAGAAATTTATTCATTTATTGATAAAATATGCTCAAATTGGCGACCTTCTACTCTAATACAAGCTCGGCACCTTTTAAGAAAAGACGCTTTTAGAGATCTTAAACTCAATTGGGCTATCTCAGCAGCAGCTCCATTTATTTGTTCCCGCAAATGCTCTTCGTTTTGAATTGTTTTTGAATAAATTTTGTCCTTAAGACAGCCCCAGTAGAAAAAATCTAATGGATTCAGGTCTGGCGATCGAGCGGGCCACGTGATTGGCCCGTATCGTCCAATCCATCGGCGAGGATAAGTTTCGTCTAAATGAGCTCTTACTTCACGCCCGTAGTGAGCAGGGCACCCGTCATTTTGCAGCCATAGTCTTCGCCGCAGGTTTAAGGGTACATCTTCCAAAAGAGTTGGAAGCCGTTCCTGAAGGAACTCTAAATAACTGTGAGAGTTGAGCGTTGGCGGCAGTTCCACAGGTCCCAATATCTGACAATTAAAAATACCGCACCATAAATTTATTTTGTACCGGTACTGCGAACGATCTTCTCTCATTTCGTGAGGATTGTCTATCTGCCAACTGTGAAGGTTATGTAAATTAAAATAACCATCACGTTTGCATGATGATTCATCGCTCCAAATTATTTTATTAAAAAAGTTGGGGTCTGATTCATGCATTCGCAACATTTCACGGCAAAATCTAACCCTCGACAGGTAATCTCTTTCCTGTAGAGCCTGAACACGTTGAATGTGGTAGGGATGAAATCGATGGTCTTTTAAAGCTTTGTGAACTGTAGTTTTTGGTATTCCCGTCCGTCTTTCCATCATTCTCACTGAAGTCGATGGACCTAGTTCCACTTCCTCTAACACAGCTTCAACATCTACCGTTGCAGGACGTCCTGTTTCGCCGCCACGCCTTCCAGGTATGCGACCTTAAAAAAGTGAAAAATTATAGTTAACAAGCAAGCAAACAAGAAAGGTGTAAAAATCACTTACCTTCATATATTTCTCTATGGGTCCGGGCGAATACTTCTCGACCCGGATGTCGACGATTGGGGTATCGCTCTGCATAGAGTCTTTGAGCAGCTCTGGCATTACAGCAAGCTTCACCGTAAATTAGGTGAATATCCGCATATTCATGCGACGTATACTGCGTGTTCTCTGTCATAGTATTAATAACACAATGTTCGAAGGGTCCAATTTCACAAAATCCACTTTCACTAATTCCGGTAAGTAACATAAAATAATGTCAAGAGCAGGTAATAATGTACCTTTGTACTATTTAGCATGTCATTTGACGGTAACAAGAGCAAATTCAATTTAAATCTATTAAATACATTCTAGCGTGTCTCAGTCCTTTACCCACAAAAGCGGCTATAACTTTTTTTTTCTATTCAAAACAGTAAGTGTGGCACCTTTCTGAAATCTTTATTAAATGAGCAATTTTTTTATGTAATGTAAAGTTATAGCTCAGTACATTTTTTTTCACCCGAGATAGTCAAAGTTGGGGAAGAAAATATCAAAAAGTTAAAAATCCAGAAATAGTCCTAATTTTATGATGGTTCCTTAATTTATTTTAACTACATTGCATTTGAGTATGGAGAGGCAACTATCTGGAAGTATTTTACATAAAAAATTTACTAAGTATTGCCCGGTTTGTAGTTGCAGTTAAAGAAAACACATGAAAAGGCACGATTTTTTTTAAATTCGAAAAAATGTAAATATTTCAAAAACGGTGACACTTTTACCTGAAAATTTTTTGTTTATCAGTGAGCTCACCCCCCCACCTACCTTGCCCTAAAGTTTGGCACGTTACTTCTGGGACACCCTGTTTTGAAAGTTTAAGTTTTGAAAACCCAAATATTGTTAGTTTCGAGAGAAATGTTCAATAAATAAATACATATTATACAACAAAAAAAAAAATTAACCTAATCATTTGTTTGATTGCTCATATCTCTTGAACGGGCAGAGATAAGTTAATAGTTTTGGCTTAAGTAAAGCGAAAAACTACATCTTTTTAACCCGAACTTTTAAAATAATCTCGGCGTGCTAGAAAAATAACTTGGAATGCCTCTAATGCAAAAAAACGAAGCCTTAAAATGTGTAGCCACCCACCCCTTATTTCAACCCCTAATTTAGGGGCTGATGGTATCCCAATAAAAAAAACACCTTGGAAAAATAATTTTTGAAATTGTTTACAATGTTTTTCAGTGAAATCTCTGGATATTAGCCACTCACCCCTTATTTTAATCCCTAATTTAGGTATCCTAATAAGCTTTTCCTTAATCTACATTAAATTTACTACAATTTAAAAAAAAATTGTATCGAGGTCGTGATTTGGTTGTGAGATACAGCAAAAAGAAAAGCGAAAGGTCATACATTTTTTGAACATGGTCAACTTCGCCGCTCACTTCCCCCAATAAAATAAAGTGTGTTTACGTTGACTTTAGTTTTCCTTTAATTGACATAACTTGAGCATTATTGACAAAAAGAAATTATTGCGCTATCTCTATTCCTTCTCGTTATATTAGATTTTAAACAAAAAAAATGTGATTTAGCCCATAGTGCGCCATGCGGGTTCACTAGTTTATATAATTGTCTTTGTCGTTGCCTTTGACTGTGTATTAGTTTTTATTAAAATTATTCATTAGAACAGTTTATTTTTGTTTAATAATGCAGGAACAGCTTAGTAAAAAAAACAAAAAAAATCTAAAATTACCAAATGTTTTAGTCCTTTCCAATCTGAATTTAATATTTTATACTTATTTTATAAACTCCAAATTCGTCTTTGATGACGATGATAGATTCCTTTGGCTCAAGCTTGAGGGTTAATGCGAAATGTTTGTTTTCCCCGACCTGTTGCATTGAACTCGCTACACAACGCTAAGCTCTAAGCAACCATATCCTAGCAACAGAAGCGACGGGTGTGTTGTAAACAAATACTTTCAAGCCACAACAAACCGTTGTCAGCGGCAGAGCTAAAAGTTTACTAAAGTTGCACAGGAAAAATTTAATATTTTAGCTGATATAACATTAGCAAAATATATATATAATTCAATATCATAGATATGTCCTTCAAGGATGTGCGAGGTAAGTGAAAATTATTGAAGTCATAGTAATTTCCTACCACTTAACATTTCGCAGACCTCGCTGAGCACCTCAAACTACTCGGCTATCCGCATGTGTTCCCTCTGCAGGCGTTGGCCAATAATTTCGGCAGTCTTGCCTCATTTCATGTCGTCGCCGAAGTTCTCCAATGGTTGGCCGGTCTACTGGAGCCAGGTGCCGTACTGTCCGGCAGCGTAGAATCGGAGAATGAGCGCATATTACTTATACGCTCCGCCACCGAGTTCTTTGTTACTAAATCGGCCATAAAGCTCAATCCACGTAAGTTATATGCGTCTTCTGCCGTCACCGCCACCGAGTTGCAGAAGATCACGCGCATGCTGATCGCACCGCAACAATCGTCCGAGGACAAGGATGAAGAGGAGAACTACCGCAGTCTCAACCAGGTGGACATAGGTGATAAAATGGATGATTTGCGTCGTGCTCGCGAGCTCTCCACAGATCTAACTCAGCGCGGCGCTGCACTGCACGAGCTGCTCGCTAAAGAAATGCTACACCGAGAGACACGCCTGGCGCAAGCCAATCGTCCAATGGAGTTGGCGTCAGCAGAGCGTACACTTAAGAATGCTGTAGCAGCCGCACAATTGAAATTGCAATCGAGTCGCGGACAATTGGAGAATGCACGCGTCGAAATGAACGCGCTTAGCTCAAAGTTGCAACGCAAGCGCGCCGAATTGGAGCGCACCAAGCAGCGTTTGGAGGCATTGCAGAAGATACGACCGGCGCACATGCAAGAGTTCGAGGAATGCGAGAAGGAGCTGCAGGAATTGTTTCAACAATATTTTCAACGTCTACATGTGCGCGATGCGTTGCGTGCCCAATACGAAGCGCGCACCAAACGCAGTACACCTGTCGCCTCGCCAATGCTGCAGAAGCCGCAGGAATCATCAATGCCCTTCATACCGGAGGGTCTCATAGAAGACGATGACGACAATGAGGGCGAAGCAGAGCTGGATGGCAGTGGTGTGCTGCGACGTGGCAATTTCGGACTGGATGCGGAGATTCCAGATATTCGAGATGAGGATATGATTTTGCGCAACCGGAGATCATATAGTGGATTGATGGATGAGGCGGCGCGTAAGATGAGTAAGCGGCCAGGTACGGCAACTTCGCGCAATGGACGCCCAATAACGGGACGTAATCGTCGGCCTCAAGCCGAGCGCCTTGCAGCGGAAGATGGCGGGGACGTCGATGGACGCGGTGTCGGCGCTATGGGCAGCATGCTGAGTACGCGCGCTACACTGGGCGGGGAGGGTGACGAGGATGACAGCTCATTTGGTAGTTCGGACAGTGACCTGGGCATGGGCGGACTGCTGGGCATGGGGCGCGGGCAAGCACCAAGCGGTCTACTGAGCAATTTAGACTCCGAGTTGGCCAACTTTGTCGACGATGATTGTAAGTGAGGCGTTGGGAAAAAAAGCTTCCTATTATAATCACTTTTAATTTTAGTTGATCTAAACTCGATGGATGACATAAGTATTTCGAAAATCACAGGAGAACTGCCGTTGCGTCCGAAGACAGCAAGCAAGCCGGATCATCACAGCGATGAAGACTTTTAGAGCAAATGAATGCAATTTATTAGCGATCCGCTCTCAGACCACCATTTAGAGACACAAACACATGTAGGTTGTCTAACGTATATATTTTTATATCAATATCTCAATCCTACGATTAGTTGTATTTGTAGAAAGCAAAGTTGCAGCATCGAATAAACTAGATAATAAGTTTATGTATAATAGAGTTATTTACAATAGCAAACATCAAATAAGGCATACGAGTATTACAATATTATACAGTTAGGTATGCATGTCTGTTTATTATTTCGCTTAACTGTCCCTTGGATTAACGCACGCAAAAATACTCAATCCACAATCAAATGACTCGACTCAACTCAACTCAAGAGCTCTGCGCTACATCACCACATCGCGGCAAACGATTTTCGTTTTGGACGATGAGCGCGACCGCTGCTTGCCATATGTCTCACTAGCCGTCGTCGACGAAGAAGAGTAGTCAACATGGCTTCCCGGCTGGCTGTTGGTTTGCTCCTGACGCGCCAAAAAATTATCTGCTATATCGCGATCGAGCCCCGTATACTGAAAGGCCTCGTTGTCAATTATATCTGCTTCGGATTTGCGACGTTGTCGACGATTAGCGCTCATTTTTCCAGCGCGTGGCGGCGGTGGTCCCGGACGGCGGCGACGGTTATGCGGTGGTCCAACAGATTTGCTGCTCTTGTGTGTGCGATATGTGCCACTGGGTGCGCTGCCGGCTGGCGCATAAATCACAGAACCTGGACGTACGTAGGGCAGAGTGTAGGTCATACCGGGACGATATGGTACACCGGGAACAACCATTGTCGCAGGTACAGACGGTACGGGTGGAGGAGGGGTAGCCAACATCTGAAAAGGATAAATGTGTAAAGTGAAAAAGTAAAGAAAAACCCGCAGATTTGGAAAATTTCCGAATATTGTTGCGAGCTAAGTAAACTTTTTTAGTTTTTAACCCACAAATACTCTTCCTTCCTGTTCCCTAATTTGGAACTTACATTTGTACTTCCAGCTGGTATCAACATAATCGGGCGACCGCTACCGGTTTGCGGCAAACTGCGTGAGCTGCCCATCTGCGCTGTATACATCCACATGGCAGCCAACTTTTCAGCATTTTCCTAAAATTTGAGTACTCATTATTTACATTTACAAGAACTTGAGAAATTTAAAAAAAAAAATGTACCTTCTCACTACCGGTTAAGGACATTGCCTTGATGTATTGATCGACTTTTTCCTGATCCAATGCAATTCCAGTAGCTTTTGCTTTGATGATGACATCGCGTAGCTCAGCAGCTTCATTTCTGAAAAGAGGGCATATTTTTAATGTTTATACAGTTAAACAAATTATTTATTTGAGGTTTTCAGGAACTAATCATTTTATTATTTATATATCTGTGTTCGTATGGAATAGTAGCGTCGCTGGCTTTAGTATAATGCGGCATTCCCATTTTTAAGAATATTGACTTGCTAATATCGAAATTATTTCTGCACGTTTATTTGCCAAAATTTCTGCAACGGCTCGGCGCCAGTGAATCTTTCGCAATCGTATGCTGCGGATGCCACATTATACTAAAGCCAGCCCTTCATTTCATTTTTAAGGAGCTGGCAAATCTCTTCAAATTATTTTCGAAATTAATCTCTGATAGACCTCTTTTCAATCGACCTCAGTATTGTAATATTTGATTTAACAAATTGATTTAACTTAACTTTGCAGCAGGTGGCACTTCTTTTAAAAATTTATACTAATTTTTAATTTAGTCTATCTATGTATGTGAAAAATTTCATGCAAATCCGTTAAGTCGCTGGCGCGTGATTGTCCTACTTCCGATGTACAAAATTAAATTAAATTTCCGCCCAATCCCGCCTCATTCCGGATTAGTTGCATGTTTTGCGGGGTAGTCACTATGCTAGTTAAAAAATCTATTACTTGCTTTCTGCTGCGTAAAAAAAAATTATAAAAGTAAAAGTCAAAATAAATTCATATACTTGATAACTAAAAAAAAAAACAATTATTAATAATTAAAAAACCAAAAAATAAGAGAAATAATTAGAAATTTTAAGTGCATTACGAAATTCTGTGTGAATAATTTAACCGCAAAAAGCACAGTAGTTTGGTCTCAAACCCATTAGGATGACGGAAAAATAGCCGAATCGCAACAAAATTGTCGATATAGCAGACCACAACCGCTGGTAGTGCAGTGTAAAGTCATTTTAATGTCAATTTGACGTCTCACGTTGGCAAGGCAAAAACAAAGAAGTCACGAATTTTCAGCAGTGAGAGAAAATCGCTTATTACAGCAAACCAGAAAAACAAAATATTTTACTAAGAAAATTTGTTTTTATGATTCACTTTGGTGAAAAGTACAAAAAGTTCTTTGAATGCAGTGTACCGCGACACGAGAGTGATTTAGAAATCTGTAGCGGATTATTGATTTCTGCAAGCACTACCGAAACAACAAACGGACGTGGTGGCAGCAGCAGCAATCGTTGCAGTGGTTGGCTGGCGAGCAGCGACAAGTGGACAAAACAGTGGCAAAGCCACAAGCAATGTAAAGGTGTCGACAACAAAAACACGCATTGAGCTACTAGTTTGTAAACGGGTGAGTGCGGTAAGGGGATACGAAAGTTTTACAGCAGTTACCAAATTGCAATCGAGAAAAAAGGCCAACAAAGAAAATAGTAGCGCGATTTTATCGCCCCGTGATCTTCAACAAATAATTTAGATACTTAAGTTGACGTGTTCAAGTGTGACAAACTCTGTGTTTGTGCACTTCATTTACAGAGCAGCTGTTGGCGTATTGAACGTTTCCCCTCAGCTTACATTCCATCAATTAATTTATTGCACCCACAATTGCCACCTACGCAGCGATGTCAAACATGTTCAGCATAACCAATATCAAGAATCGCTTTATTTCGGTTATCGCCCCAGATATACCGCCGCTGCCATCAGTTCCCAGCCACCAACTACATCGTGGAGGTCCTTCGTCAAACTACCAGCTGCGAATGGTGCATCAACAGAAAATGCCCGACAAATTCGCATATGCTCGTCCACCATTTCTACAGCTTTTGACAATCGATGAGTTGCGCGCCTCGGCCGACCACAATGTACGCCCTATCATTGTGCCACGCGACATCAATTTGCTACCATGGGGCACTGGTTATGCTGAGTGTGTCAATTCCGGCAAATCGGAGTGGAATGAAGACCAGGCTGCTTTTTCCAGGAAAGTACAAAGAACAAACATATCGTATATGCTTGAAAATAGAACAATATCAGCTTATCGCAATTGTCATAGTTCTGAAAACATTGCTGAGTTAATGCTTATCAGTTTGTTTTGTGTACCTAATTCCGCTAACATTTGCATTTTCACACATACATAGTTTAACGCCAAAGTAAATCGACCGATAAGCTGATCCATTTTTCATTGTAAAATAAACAAAGTTTTAATTTTTTATATCAATAGGCAAGTACTTTCCGACCCAACACATTGCCATCCCGATTTACCATACACATACTATGGCATTTTTGATGGACACGCTGGTTATGGTGCCGCTCTAGCTGCTTCGCATCAATTCCACCACATTTTGCATGAAAAATTGGTGGATTGCATTGAACTACTGCTTCCTCGCGAAGAGGAAATGGCAAATGCAAAGCCAGATAGTGGCTTTCCGCACCCCAGTCAATTTCATAGACGCGTTTACAAGGATGAGCTCATCATTGGCGCACTGGAGAGCGCTTTCTTCAATATGGATGCGTTGATTGCACAGGATCGCGATAGATATCGAGATGCTGGCGGCTGTACCGCTTGCGTTGCGTTGTTCATCAATGGTAAGCTGTTTGTGGCAAACGCTGGTGACAGTCGTGCAGTTTTGTGTCAACGTAAAAGTGCATCCGCGCTTGATGAAAAACACAAATCATCTGCAAGCATAGTAGCAGTGAATAGCGCCGAGAATAATGCAGATACACAGGAAATATTTGCTGTGCCTTTCTCATTTGACCACACTCCGGAGACGGAACGACATCGACTACTTACTGTAGCACGCTTGAAACCACATTTGATGGAGAAACAGTACGCCGCAATGGAATATGCCAAGCGACCCCATATGAAGGATTTGGGCCAACGCATCCTTTGCCGCCAGGGTACAATGAAAGGTTGGACTTATAAAACGTTGACGCGCGAAGATTTACGCATGCCGGTGGTGAGTATTTACGGTTGAACGAATGTTATGTTCTTTGTTAACAGCTTTGTCTTAATTTAAAGGTGACGGGAGAAGGAAAGCGTAGTCGATTGCTGGGAACATTGGGCGTTACACGCGGCTTTGGAGATCATGATCTCCTGGCCATCAACACAGGCACACAAATAAAACCGTTTCTCACGCCACATCCTGAAGTGGTTATACGCGATCTTTCCAAAATCGTCAGCATTCCAGGTAAGTGCCAAGAAGATACATACATACATATGTTTGTACACGAAAACAAAAATTCTACAAAGCTGTATTGTTTTTGGATTTAGATGAGAATAATGAGGATGGTGATTATGGCATTCTGGTTATGGCCACCGACGGGCTATGGGACGTATCTGAGAATGAAGCTGTAGCGCGCACCGTTTTCCAAACACTCGCCAAATACCCTACAGAAAAGCACCGTTACACAATGGTGGCACAAGAGTTGGTGGCGCGAGCGCGTGGTAAAATAAACGATTCCGGTCATTGGCGCCTGGCCGATAGCAAAGCTGCTGCCACAGTGGATGATATCTCAGTGATTGTGATACCGGTGTATCAGTATTATAAAGAACACGTTGAATGGGAGAAGAAGTGTGCCCAAGTGCTACAGGAGCGGCGGGCCAAAGTGACACCTAGTGCTACCGAGGCGTGCGAGGATGAAACGTTATTGGTTAATGGCGTCACAAAGGCACAAGTTGAAGCAGAACACGAAGAGGATGAGGAGGAAGAAGTAGTTGTAGAAGTAAATCGACAAAAGGCACAAGCTGACGTCGAGATGGAAGAGAACGTAAGTGACGAACGAACGCAGTTGGCGAACATTACTACACCAACAACAACAAGTACTAATGAGGAGATAGCAGTCGAAAAAGATGTAAAGGAGTTGATTGAAAACGAGCTGGCAGCCGCTATATCTGCCCTGGATGCTACTGAAAGTGCAGAATATGATAGAAAAGATAAAACAGGTGGGTGAAATATTTTCTCAATGGAGTAAACTCAACCAACTCTGTCTTTTAAAGGCGTTGTTTAAGTGCAAGTTGCGCTCGCTGATGCGCTGAACAGGCTCAAATATTTCATTGCAAGTTGCTAAAGATAGTTTCTAACAAGAAAAAGACGAACGACACTCTGCGATGACATAATCAATCTCTCAATCTGTTTCACGCCCTCTCTCTACTATTACAGGAACGTCTGCGACCGTGCCGGAGAATGCAAACAAACAGAAGCAACCACAGCACCAACAACAACATCATCGCAATCGTAATCGCAAAGATAAACGTTGAAGAATCAAAAGCGTACGCTTGTTTAGCGTACAAATTTTATACTAAATTCAATAATTAGTACGTAGCAAATAAATTTAACTAGTAAAAACAAACGCACTTAAATAATAATCAATGTAAGGAAATAGAAAAAAAGGGAACTTGAGAAATGTTGACGTGTAGTGAAAGTTGCGCTGTGTTGCCGGCAGTGAGTTTTTTCGAGGGAAATTTCTTAAATCATTACCAGAAATAAATAAATTATAAATATTCGATATAAGCATATACTAATTTATTTTATTTACGTATACTTTGTAACTTATGGCCGCATTCAATCAAGGTGACCAAACACTGACCCTAGCCACATACCATTTCCAAACGAATGCGAAAATTTGTACTGAGCGGATATAAAAGTAATTAATAAAAGTGAAATTAACACTTGAAAGTGCGAAAAATTTATAAAAATTTGCAGGATAAAAACAAATGAATAGAAACTTTATTATTGTTCAAATGAAAATGTAATAATTCATTATTTTCGAAAATAAAATAAAATTTTTTTTGCAAACAATTTTGGATACTAATTTAACCTTCGAAAGTAATCACGAGTAACACCTGAAATATTTACTAACGCAAAGAATGGAAGCATTTGTAGTAGAATGACAATCTTTTGCTAGGGGTACAATCAGACAAGTATGTACTATAAGCAAAGCATATTGCTTTGAATATATGATACAATCTAACTTCTTTTTTGCCGAGATCAGTACATGTTCTCCACAGAGATTCAAAATGCCTTTGACAGAAGAAAAACAGTGCCCGGCATAAGATGGGCATTAAAGAAACGAAATGTACAGCCAACTATCGCCAGATGCAACAGATGGAAACTGCGTGGCGGTACAACAAAGGGATGCCCACAAAGAGGTGTCCTACCACCTCTCCTGCGGAGCCTAGCGGTGGATAAACTCCTACAAATCCTCTCAGAAAATGGCTGCTAGGATTGCAGATGACAAAATAATTGTAAAAGGAATGTTCGAAGGACTAGCTGGTGCGCAAATGTGGATTTTGATATCAACCTCTCAGATAAGGTTTTTTTTTGCCGAGGGTGGTAAGCATTTTCTTCCATATACAAAAAAAATTAATTTTGTTGATGCGTGATATGGAAGAAAATGCTCAGCACCCTCGGCAAAAAGTTCTAAAAACCAACGGTAATTTTTAGCGGCTTGAAACTTGCACTTCATTGTACTGAAATAAATGGGCCATAATATAAAATTGTATACTCGAGAATTAAAAAAAAAAATAAATAAACATTCTGACAAAAAGTAGGCAATTTTTATGAACTTTTTGGAAATTTTTATGAATTTTTTGGAAATTCGATTGATTATTGTAACCAATGAAGCTTTTACTTAAGTGGTTTCTGGTAACCGGTTACTAATTACACGCGAGATTGAGCGTTGGGATGTGACCGATTGTCATAGGCAATAAACAATTTCCTGCCCTCAAGCCATTATCTGGAGCTTTTTTTTTTACTAGTGCTAAGAGGAAATCAGCGTCAGTGTGTGTCAAAAGAGGTGTTGATAATGTCTTATCTTTATGAGCTGATAGCACAGCAATTTGTTCGTTATCTGAGTAAGAAAGAAAATATATAAAAAAAAACAATATTTTAAATAATCTACTCAGCGGCATAGGCTCAACAAGACTAATAGATTATTTGCACATTGCACCTACACAATTAAAGGAAAAACTCGTTTATAATTTTTCAAGATATCAACTTTATTCAATTGATAATTAATTACTGTTAAATAAAATTAAAACATGCAATGCATTTATAAATTTTAAATATTTTTAATTACTTATCTTTTTCTGTTTTAAGTATATTGAATTATAATAAATCTGGAATATTTTATGCGGGAAAATACACAACTTTTAATTCACTGATGCACAGCATTTTCTTTTTTTCAATTTTATATTTTTTAATACATATGTATGTAAAATGAAATGCGCGGCAATGCCAGAATATTTCGCAAAAACTCTTGCGCTTGCAGGAGGCAGCTGTTTGTTTGTAGAATTTACTAATATTTTAAAAACTAAATGCAAACGAATAACTTTTTTTCTATCGCTGAATGTGTTAATCAATACAATACATTTCACAGTTCGGAACAAATTAACTAAATTAGTATACAATGGCAATTGACATAAATACATATGAATGTATGTATGCACATACATACATATATGTATGTTAAATGACATAAATGCTTATAAATACAATATATGTATATAAGTATGTAGAGTAAAATGCATTATTTAAAATGACACACACAGAATATTAAAATTTTGAATATAATACATTTTTAGGTAAAATGCTAACAATTAAAATTAGTATAGTTGTAAAATGTCATAAAATATACGAGTAGTTAGGTGAATAAAAATATTTGCACAATAATTGCAATGTAAATTGACAACTTAGTGGGTTTGAATAAGTTTTTTTTTTCAAAATTTTTCTAACTTCACTGTTAGTTAAAAAACGCAAAAACCACATTTGCCGCAATGGAAATTCGCTTTTGTTCGTTTTTGCTTTCTTTGACAAATTTTCACTCTTAACATTTTTGTGGTATACATACATAATTAATTATGTATTTATGTTTGTTTGTTGCTTAACTTGGCACCAATATGACGAATGCTAGTCAGCAGCGAGCAGAAAAGAGTGATAATTAGCGTCTAGTTTGTTTTATTATTATTATTATTATTTGTTTTTGTAATATTTGTGCGCATAAGTTGCGTTTGTTATAGTTGACAGCCAGTGTAGCAGACAAAGCAATTGTCTTATCAGTGCCAGGAAAAGCTTTTAAATCTTCTTGCTTTATTTGCATGTTAGTTTTCGTATTTTTTCAGAAGGCAATTTTGTTTTTAATTTTTTTAATCTGCGCGGAAAGTAATTTATTTTGTTTGAAAGGTATTAATTTGGTGGCGGCATCTAACAGATTTAAATATGTAGAATAAAAATGTGGAAGATGAAAAAGCGTTTTCGAATAAAATGCTTTTTAACTGAGGCCAATTTCTATGGCTAAAATGAATGTTTGTAAGCTTGTTAAGCAGTGGCTGTCGTGAGAATACCTATAGACCAGTTTTTTTTTTGTGATATTGTATGTATGTCTTTATGTATGCATCTTTGCCCTCATCAACCGTGGTTGTGGGTGATTCATGCTTTAGCATGGCACTGACTTTGCGGTTCTAATAAATTTTAACTGCACATTCTGTATTTTAAAATTCAAAGGATTTAGTTCAAAAACTATGCACACAAATACGTATGTATGCACTTTCAACATCAGATAGATGTACATATGTACATACCATATATGTATGTTTCCTAACCAACATTTGCACTTTCTTTTCAAAAATATGTATGTATGTTTTCCCATGTACTGCAACAATTTCTTTTTCTTTTCTATATACATATATAATTTTATATAACATGCAAAGTGTAAAGCCTAAAAGACGGCCACATAACGCAACTTTACGATGTTCGACAAATATATAGTAATTGCAGTATATGACTTATGCAGCTTTTACGTAATCATTTTTCATAGATAAATATGTTTGTAGGTAATGTATAAGGGTTAGGTATTTATATAAATTCTCTCTAAATATATGTATATACATTTGTTAAATAGTAATATGTGTACGTGTCTGTATATATACCATAAATTGTATGTGCATAAGCTTGGTATGCATGTATGCTTGGCTATACATATGTATGTATGTATGTACTTGTGGTCTGGTGAATAAATTACATATCCTTATATGGTTTAGTATAACATACATTTTATAAATATTGTTAGTGTTCTTTTTTTATCAACTATTTTTAGCTTTAAATTAATCGCTTACTTACTATTTATTTTACCATTTACTTAACATTTACTTATGCATGTATGCGTTTAAATTATGTAATTAGAAGCGGTAATGTAAATACAACATATACGTATGTATATACGAATCTACAGCCGAGTTACAAAACGTCGAAATTTTAATTTACGCACTGGTATAAATATTTTAACGATCAGTGAGGCTTTCTTGCCTGTTGGAAAAGATGATTTTAACAACGCAGAAGCCGTGAATGCGTAAAGTTTTTGCTTACCCATAGTGGCATTTTAAATTTGCTGAAAAGTATTCCTACACTCACTGCTCTTGCTCTTTGTTTATCAATCATCGCTAACTCCTATTTACACTCTTTCATATAAATATGTAAATCATATGTATGTACATAATTAACTTTTGTCCAAACAATTTTTCCGCATTTTTTTTTAGTATCGTTTATATGTACATAAGTGTGTACTTAAATACATACATTTATATACATATACACGTTCGCAAAGTTTGTATACTTATTTTCAAAGGCAAATCACAATCTTGTATTTCATTAGAATTAAGCATGGAATTTTTTACTTTACATTGCGGTATGTATTCACTAACTTTAATACAATACATTGGTTATTGTTATTTTTTTTGTGTGTTAATTATTCATTAAAATTCGCTTGTATGTATATTCGTGCATAATTTTTGATTTCAAATACAAGTGCTATTGGAGTTACGTTAAATTTGGCAAATTTGTTTGAAAGTCCTGTGGAATTGGATTTAGGGAAGGTATTTACTTTTGCTGAATTGTAGTAACTTTAATTTTAGACTGTCTGCTACGAACACTAAACGTGGTTGAAATCGTTTTAGAAATATTTTCTTTAGAATCTTAAAACAGCCTACGCTGCGAGTACCGAGTGTACAACACGTTTTTTGTTGTTATTAAATATATTTCATTGTTATCCTTCTCTGTTAAGCATTTTTTACTTTGGCCATTATTTACGAGTAAGTAGTGTTTTGCAAAAAATTATCTTTTGTTTTGTTTTTTTTTCTTTGTCAATAATTTCATAAAATCGTTTTTGCATTACTAACAACAATTATTAGTCAAAAAATAAATACTTAACTTGTTCACAAAATCACTATTCCCAGCTACAGACACGCACAAGGCTTGCTACTCCTACCCCTAAGGGAGGCGCGTTGTGTGTACCTTATGGATGTCGCGCATAGGAAGCCGACAAAATGCCTAAAAATATTATTTGTATCTCCTTCTTCTCGCGTCCCTATTTCTAGGTATGTATATGTACGTGTTTTTATTAATAAATACGCAAACAATTTATGCCGTGGAATAATGGTGGCTATTTGCTCTACCACACACAAACACATCAACAGCCTTTGAACAAATTTTCGGCGAGCATACAAAACGGCTTTCATATAATCGCCAATGATTCAATTAAATTTCACCGAAAAAATTTACGAGTGCAAGTTGGCTTTGTCTTTGGCACGTCGTTTCGCCAGTTTCGACATTTCTACTGGGCCCACATTTGCCGCTTGTGGTATTGCAATCGCGCGGAAAGTCGCATCGACGGCACCGCGCAACGCCGCCGTCGCTTCGCGTACCGAGTTGGCATTGGGTTGCGCGAACCCCGCGCCGCCTTCGCCTATGGCATTGACACCAGCGCCTGACATTTGTGCGGGTATTATCGCGTATTCCGTTAGGCGC